TGTTCTATCGATTACATGTTTTAGTAATCATATTTGTATTCTAACGGGTTCGGACATAAGCATATCCGCAGATGCATATGTTCCTAAAAGAATTAGCAAAATAAAATTAAGTGACGAACGTGTGTGTTATAAAAAAAAACCACCAACAGGCAACAACATGCAATAGCGGAAAAGAAATTTGGTCTCGTGATCTTTGCGTTTATGAAATTTCTGTGTGTGTGTATTTTTTTTCGCATGTGGGTGAAACGGATGGGTGGCATTAGGGGGTGATTTTTTTTAGCGTTCATGTCAACAAAGACCAAAGTTTGATAAAAAGATAACATGGATTGTTATAAAAACAAAAAGGCTAATAATAAGGACAAGAGTATGAGTTGGATCCGGTCAGGAAAACAGCAAAGTCACATCGAATTTCACATGCAACGCTCGAGAAATAATTGACTAAAGTGCACTGCTACACGTGACATCATTTGCGTGTGTCCACTGCAAAAAATAAAAATTTTCATTTGTTGGTGGGCCATAGGAAACCTCAGTAACGATGGGCTAGAAGGCCCAAGGCCTTCTAAGACGGTTTCCGAGAAGGCTTCCCGTCAAAGGAGGGAAAAAAAAATTGAGAAACAGGCATTGAGGTTAAAATTAAATCCAAAATTACTTGCGTTTCACATCCATTACCTATCCGTTATAAATTTATAATAACGGCCTAACCCGTTATTTATTCTCTAAATTTTTTTTTTGGGTGCGCTAGAAGTTAATGAGAAAAGGTAAGAAGTATTGTTACTGAAATTGGTTTTATATGGTCATATTTTTATTAAAATGTGACATTTAATTAGTTTTGCAATTACCAATTAGCATGAATTTATTTATTGTATCATAATAACGAATAAATTTAGATCATTGAAGCGACAGGTGAGCCTGTTTAGTTTTTCCTTCTACGAGTATCAGCACTAAGGTGAATGTTTGAGGCCAAGAAAAAGGCTGCAGGATAACACATAAGACAAATAAATTGGGCTTCTAAGTTGTTGGGCTAGGTCTACAATGACTTTGATCCATTACTTACCACGTGATCTGTGGGCCGGGACAACATACCATGTATAAGATAAAGATTAGTTGATGCGATTTTGGCCACCATATTTATGTTATAATTGGTCATGTCATGGAAAAAGTTCATGATCATTTGATATAATGGGATTTTCCTATGTGTAATGGCTTCATCACTTATGAAAATACAAACTTGAGACGTTTGAGACATATCGGACAGCTTGTATTTGATAAATATATTGCATTTGACCTTTTATTTTATTTATTTTTAATATCAACTTGTGGCATTTGAGGAAGTTGTATTGCTTAAAAATTATTAGAAATGTATACAACTTAAATTGACACATATCATCAGAATTGACTAGCAGTCCAATTAACCCTAAAAAGGCCATAGAAGTAGCCATCGTAAGTGGGCTGGCTCTCTTCGGCAATTATGACATGTAAGTGACTTCGGGCAAAGATAAGGCCTGTTTCCTACCCATCTTAATTATCTTTACATATACAAATTCCTAAATATTGTAGCTGCTTGCACGTCTTTTTCATTAAACACCTAGTTGATGGGTGAACGATTAATCCTAATCAACATGCCTTATCAACTACTTTTTTAATTAATACAGAAGGATTCAAAGTTGATGGGTGAATAATAAATTCTAATGAAAAATATCTTAAGGGCCCAAAATATGGACTAAGGAAGGGGAAAAATGAGGTGTCCCTTCTCTATTTCATAATGAGTTGGTCATGCCAGATCATTATGCAATAGAGAATGAACATTTCACATGTCCCTTCCATTGATCGGTTGGTCCCATATTTTGGGTCCCTGTAGCAGCGCTCAATCCTAATCATCAAATTCAATTCAGCAAAATTATTTTTTTTAAAGAAAAAAACACCCAAATGAATGGCTCTTCTGCCTCCTCCAACCCACTAACTCCCATGGTTAGCTCTCCCCCCATACAATACTCGCCCCTAGAAAAACTTAATCTAGAAAATTCATTAGCGAAGGTAAAAATCATGATAGAGGAACCTATTTTCAGTCTATTACGTTATTTATTATCATTGATTATCCTTAAAATTTCCAGTGGTTTATGGCAATTTTCAGCACTTTCTAATTGATGTCAAAGATTATTAAATTGGGTATGGCATCATCCTTTAATCTCTTTCAAAGTATAGAATTTGGAACTCTAATTAATTGAGTATTGCATGATCCTTCCATCTCCTTCAAAGTGTACAATTTCGAACGATAATCCATCTCTTATAGAATAGCAAAATGGTTGAATTTGCTATAAATTGTTCTATAAGAAATTTTAAATTTTAAATTTCTTTCTTTATGTTCTAAATTTAATTGAAAAATACTCTCAATAATTAACTTCAATATTGAATAGCTTTAAGGTTGTAACTTTCTTCAATTCTTTTATGTTAATTCTGTTTTGGGGTTAACTGACAATTTAGGACAGAATATCAAATTTATGTTTTTTTTTTAATGGAAAAACAAGGGATGAACCCTGTTCATTTACTAAAAAAAATAATATAAGTATCTTTACAAAATATCAAATTTATGTATTTTGGTTTGTTTGATCTTTAGAAATTTTTGAATATTTTATTGCATGATCCTTCAATCCCTTTCAAAGTTGGTATTGACTACTTTTTTGAGTGAGTTTTATTGGTTTTGGGTTGCATGATTAATTGTATAAATCATTTTAACTCCACTTGGTTACTGTTAAACAAATCATACTCAAAGTATAGAATATATTAAAGATGTTAACTACTTGCAATTCTTTCATGTTATTTTTTATGGCGGAAGGAATTGACAATTTCAAAGAAGATAAAAAGTTTAGGATGTTTTAGGAGCATCAGTCTACGGTATAATATTCTAAAACCTTTATATTCTGTATACATGTAGATTTTCATATATATAATTTTTGATGAAATGTTACTTCATATCTAATGTGAAAATTACCTCGGTAATCGAGCAAGAAAAATAAAAATACTGTGGCAGTCCAATTTATTTTAAAAAAGCCAAATGATGCAGTAGATAACTTTTGGTGCCTATAGTGTGACAAAGAAGTTCTAGCAGCTAGCATTTAGGTAATTACTGTTCTAAATGTACACAAACATATTATTACTATTATTATTACTATTTTATGTAATAAGTCTTACTTATTGTTGTTATATTGTATGCCTAGAAAATGTAAACAACTGATTCACAATGGAGGTGGAAGACGAATAAGCAATATTTACTTTTGTTGTTCTCAATAAGGAAGTGAAGAAATTAGTAAAGATTCCAGCACAAGAAGTTGTCAGGATAATAAAATTCGTGAGTTAACTATTGTAAAATAAATAGTTAACCATTTTAAATTTTGAAATTTACAATTAAAGAAGTTATCATTTAACCTTAAAAGAAATTTCCCATGAAGTAATCAAAGTTGTATCAAGAAAAAAATATATATGAAAGTTTAGATCAAACTAACTCGGTAAGATTTCAAATAAGGTAACGTGGGTTCCACATTTATGCAAGTGATAGAAGAAGATTATGATCCTTTGATGAACTTAGAAAATAACTCTACAGGACATGTAACAAAAAGAACTTGAACTTTACATTATATTTACATAACTCATGGTATGTAAATCATGTTAAATACATTTATTTGTATATTCATACATGTACATAATCATGTTTTAACAGGGCTCTGAATGCATCAATCATTAGTTAGCTTGAAGATGTAGCCCCATATTCTTCACAACTTTCAAACAAAGGGAATATTTTTGT